AACAACCGGTTACGAATCTAGTTACGATAATGTTATGTCTTAGTCATACTTGGAACCTTTTGTAGTGATGTGTAATGGTGTAAATAATCTAAGGATTGATTTCCTTATACCAACTACATGAATAAAATCTCACACCAGAATCAATAGCCAACTGCAAGCAGACATCATCTTTCACATGCAGATGAAATGTGCGGTTTACAGGAAATTGCACAAATGTTCATTGAGGAAAAAAAAAGAAAGCCAAACCCAATTGTGCTAAAACAAGCACAAACTGTGAGTGGAAAATACAGCTAAATGATTTCCTTTAAGTACATGTCTTCGATCTTCGCTATTAACCCACTCCTTGAAGTCTTACCATAGATCATTCTAGGAAATGTTCCATTACATCCGAGCATATCCCGGCTTCACTTCTATAATCCCCATGATTGTTTAGGTGTTGTTCGAGTGAAGTTGAGGACGAAGACGAAGCCATTCTAGCAGGCAGTGTAAAGCTCCTCTTGAACTTATTATTTCCCACATTGTGACCACCATTTGTGTGCAAACTTGAAGTGTGTGAATTTGGGTGTATGGCCTTCCCCCCAATGTTGATGAGAGGGTGACGGTTCTGGTCAAACTTGTCACCTCTGTCTTCGGGGTTGAATAAAAGGCCGGGGTCATCAGATTGGCTTGTTAGGGCACTGAAGAAGCTCAATGCAGTATTAGGCCATTTGGTATCAGCTTCATGATCTCCCATCAATCCTTGAGACGAATGAGGAAGAGGATGATTCCTGGCTGAGTTGTGAAAGGTTGGGGAAGATGAAGGGATTGGCCTGGCAGGAGGAGCCCAGTTGAAAAGTGGAGGGGAGTGGATAGAGAGTGTGGGTTGCTTTGAAGCCAGAGTTGAAGAGTGTGACGTGTTCCGAGTTGCCGAAAACAGCTGGGAGAGATAGAAGCCAGACTGGTAGCCCAGAGACTCAAATGTGTGTCTCATTCTCAGCACAAAGTGGAGATCCTCTGGTATCTAATTATTATCAAGCACAAAATGAGATCAAAGAGAAATTGACATATGGTTTCACACGACCACAAGAAGATACTACTGGTGAACAGAACTCACAATCTCACAAGAGCCCAATTGCAGTAACCCATGGCCAGCTTGAATTACAGCAATAGTCTGGACAAGATTGAATGAACAAATAAATAAACATTCTAGCTAGTACAGAAAGTAGAGGTCACTATCCTAGAAATGACTCAAATGGGAATGAATGAAAGTGAGGCAATAATTAATTTTGGGCATTTGAATCTGACCTGAATACCTGACTCAAACTGGTCTGTCCATTCAGTGGGAAGCTGAAAGGAAGAAGACAGAAGAAGAAGAAGAAGAAGAAGAAGAAGAAGGCACTGGATCATCAAGCATTATAAAAAAAAGAAGGCAATCTGGTGTTTGTTTTGGAGGGGAGGGAGAGGGGTACTTACAGCATCGAATGAGCTCTGCCAGTAATTGGATATGCTTGGGTCGCATTCCGCAGGCTCCTTGAAAACCCATTTGTGACACTTATCAGATGCAACTTTCCCCATTAGCCTGTAACCAACAAACTGGTAAAATCTCTTGCCATTTGCTGTGTTTCTAATCTCACTACCATACTTTACTCCCTACTTTTTTTAAGGACATCCGCAGAGAGAGACTTATAGAATCCAATTTTTTTTTAAAATAAAAAAAAAAACCAAATCACCTACCCACTACCCACCCTTCTCCATAATTATATAACTGAATCGACATCTTGCTGAACGCCTTCCTGACCGGGTCTTGCCCTTCCATATCTTCCAAACATTCTGCAACTCTCCCTCTGCAGAACCCATCTTCCCACATCAACATCCTGCACACCACAAACAAACAAACATATTACTCCCTAGTAAATATATTATCTCCCTCCCATAAATAAATCCCCAACCTTTCTACATCAAATCAGCTCCATTCGCGAAAACCCAGATCACGATGAATAAATCCAAGAAAAATGAATTCAAGAAAAGTTTCAAGATTGGCAAGATATTCGAGTCAAAGAACAAAGGGTCCATTTGGTATACGGAATTGATGGAATTGGAATTGAATTGGAATTAAAATTCCATTGGATTCAATTCCATAGAATTCGAATTCATCAATTTCAATTCATTTTTTGCACTGCCAATTCCAAATTCACATATTTTTGGTGCTACCAAACACCAGAATTGGAATTGAAGTCCTCAATTCCAATTCCACAGTTTGAATTCCGTGGTAAGTTATTGAATTCAACGAATCAGCTATATTTCAACTCAAAGTTTTTCTAGTTTAAAGATTCTAAAACTTTCCTAAAGTAGACAAAGGAGTCATTTTGAAACAAGACTTAAGAAAAAAAAGAGTAGAGAGGTGAACATACAAGCTGCAATTCTCATCTCCAACTTTGCAGCCATTGCCACCGCGAACTCTCCTGCAAGAAGAGAGAGAGAGAGAGAAGAGAAAAGGGATTAAGGGAAAAAAAGGGGGGGAAGAGAGGAGACAGGAATTGAAGAAGAAATGGAGACAGAGAGACAGAGGGACAAACGGGCGGGGACGAATGGTCCAGAAGACTGAGTAAGTCCAGTCGGAGTTGAGACAAACGCTTCTGAGGGCCTCATGAAGGGCCATCATCCCAACTGCTTCTTTCCTCCTATCTGATGCTCCTGAGCCCACCATCTCTTTCTCTCTCTTTCTTCCTTTTTCCCCCCCTCAAACAGACACTCTCTCCATATCTCTCTCTATGTCTGTCTTTCCCAAGTAAACCCCCTTTGTTTCTCTCTATTCCATTATGGTCTAAAATGCCCAAAACAATGATTCTTTTATCTTTCTTTTTTTTTTCTCTTCTCACCAGCAACAACTACTGAGCAGTGCTCGGGAAACACAGGGCACCCCTTTTTCAATAGAAAAAAACTTTGTCACTCCAATCTTAAATTCTTGACTTAAATTTGTACGAAGTAGTAGAATTGAAATATACTCCGCAGTAAAAAAAATTGAATTTATACTTTAGTAAAAATGATCTCCATCCCTGCGGGGTAAGAAAATAAATTAAGACAGACCTGGTAAAAGGTAGGGCATGCACTTGATAGTTGAGGACCTTATGCTTAACATAATTTAAATTTATTTATTTAACACTCTTTACTCAATCAGCTCAGCTACGTGCCTACGTCTATATAGGGGTGTAAACGGATATTAATCGAATCGGATGTGCCATTACCAAATCCGTATTCGTTTATTTTTGTCGGATATCGAATTCGGATACGGATCTTGACGGATACTGAAAATCAAAACCGTATCCGCATCCATCGGATATCGGTCAGATATTGGATATATCCGTATTCGTTTCTCATTTTTAAAATCAAATTAGACAATACTTTAATTTTAAATTATATTAAAGTCAAACTATTATTGAATCAACTATAATTTGTTATGGGATAATTATATTCTTTGTTTTCATGATTTATGATATTTTACGATAACTTCATATGATAAAAAGATAAACACGGCACACATATACACATATTTTTATATGTCTGCACATATTTTTATGTGTCTACACATTTATTTTGTATATAAAAATTTCTGATACTCTGAAATATCAATAGAGAAACAGATTTAAACATAAAAAATAGGAAAAATTATATATAACAAATTGAATATTTAGATAAACGGTTATCTAAACGGATGCATATTCAGATCGGATTTTAAACGGATCAGATATATAATTACCAAATTCGTATCCGTTTAGTAATCGGATACAGATAATATCTGTTTAAAACGGATGCAAATATTTCCTCTTTAAACGAATACGGATGCGGACGGTAATCGGAATTTCGGCTATCCGTTTACAGCCCTACGTCTATAGACTATATTTACATTTTTTGGTACTTTTGAGATGTGGTTCAAAAATTACTACTCCATCTATCCCTAAACACTCTTCCTATTTTAAATTTTTTAAGTCAAACAGTGACACTCATTGACCATGAATTAAACATAATCTAAATAAATAAATGTTATAAAATTTTGATCGATGATGTCATGAACTAATGAAAATGTTGATCGATTGATGAGGAGTTTGTTTGATTGATGTCCGACTTAAAATTCGATTATCGATGGCTAGAGCGAGAAAAACTATCTGGACTTTGAAGAAATTTAAAATATAAAAAGTAATATTTGGGAAAACATATTGCAGAATTCACATGTGATATATCAGTTTAGATGAATCCACACTTGTACTCTCAAATCTGACATAGAGATATCATTGATGCAACATTTTAAAAAAATCTTGAAATTTTATCTCGTAATTTCTAAATTATAATGAAAATTGAGACGGAGGGAGTAAAAAAAAAATGTGACAAAGGGAGTATTTTAATTTTCTGACTTCTACATTTTGGATGTCCTTATTAATTTTGATTTGCCTTTAAGGAAAAAATTCTTTAGCTCACATGAATTTCTTCCTCTGTACAAATTGTAATCACACAATTTTACTTTCTAAATTAATCCAATTTTACTTTCTAAATTAATCTGAGAACGAGAATCTTTTTTTAAAATGATGGGAGTAAATTTAAGGGAAAAATAGCATAAGGAGTATAAATTTAATGGGAAAATAGCACAACCCTCCATCATTTCTCCTGCTTTCTCTCTCTCTCTCTCCCACCTCACCCAACCAAAAGTCCAAGATAGCTTTTGATGTGAACTTTATTTATTGTGTTGTTGTTTTACCCTATTCACTATCAGATAAGCCAAACCAAATTCAAAGACAGCAACAAAAAAAAAAAGATGCTAACTCCGTGCAGGAGAGGGAGGGAGTGTGCGTGTGGGTAAGCGTGTTTGAATGATGTTTTTACTTTTTTTGACTGAACTTGAATGACGTTTGACTATTGTGTTTTGACGAATTTTTAAGCATTTAAACCATGAAAATATGGGTGGGCGTCCTCGTCCAATGAGGCAACAAAACACATCTTCTTGTTTATTGTTTTCAAAAATTCTTTTTTCTACTGTACACTAGGTCGTGTTATCGTGCTATACCCAATCGCGGGCTTGGCTATCCAACGCACCCGCAAAAAAGCGAATACATGTTTTAGATTTTGAGGTACTATGTCGGCCCGTCTGGTATTGATAGGCCCGCAAATTTAAGGTCCTAGTTCGGACTTATGGATAGGCTTGCTGGCTGACTCCACCAATTAATAATACTCCTTCTCGCTTGAATTTTCGTATAATTTTAGTATGTGAAATTTGCTCCAAGTGGTACCAAAACTTAACACTTTTCTCTACATATTACCAAATCAACTTTTTTCCTAAACTAACATTAAATTTATTAGAAATCATCCTAAATAGGATTAAAACATAAAGAAAAGTATCAAAATAGGACTTTCATGTTTTTTTCCCGAAATAGGACTTTGCACTGTGGTAATGTGACTTTGCATTGTGGTAATGTGGTAGTGTACATGTGCAAATTACTATACTTTTTTGGTAATGTATATGACCACGTTTGGTAATGTAAGTCCTATATTGGTATATTTTTAATGTTTTAGTCCTACTTTGGTCTTTCTCCCTAAATTTATTAATTATGGAGTACTTATTTATTAATAACATTCATTTTACTAAAACACCTTTGTATCTTAATTATTTTCTACTCCATATAAAACATAGACTATATTTTTTTCTCCCTTTGATCAATTCTCTCTTTCCTTGATTTGTCTGCTTATATTTTCTTTTTTATGCACATTGTAAAAAATATGGACATTGTTCACTGATCCGAGACATTGTAAAAATTAAGGACATAGGATATTGTAAAAATTATGAACATTGTTTATTAATCGAGGACATTGATCACTAATGCAGTGGACATTTATAACAGTGATACTGTCTTTTTCAATTGACAATACCTTGACAATGAACATGTAGACATTAAAAACGATATTAGACATTATTAGAGTGGAACTACATAAGTTATTAAATCATGCATAATAGACATTAACGAAGTGGCGGCGGGACACTGGCGTTGGTATTTTGTGATACGTGGTCGGTGAAATACGGTAAGACATGATGGGTCAGTAAATATAAAATCATATAAATGACATTTTAGTAAACTAAAATAAATAATTAATAATTAATTATTAATAGTACTATTATGAAAATTAAAAGTTGTAGTGCTATAAAGAGATATTTACTATGTTCTAGTGCTATTAAAGAAAATTTCTCTTTTAATATCAATAGATTTATTTTGAAAAATAGTTTTGAAATATTTTATATATATGTGTGTGTGTGTGTGTGTAGAGTTTAATTGATAATTAATTAATTACTGAGAAGGAGCCAAATATAAGTGAATTATAAAGTTTGTCAATAAATAATGAAATTTATAAAGTTGTGTAGAGTTTGACTGTCTAACCGCAACGGTTCAATCGGATTTTAATTCGGAGAAAGTTGGACCAAAAACTTCGCCCCGACTAGGACCAAATTAGTCCCAATCAGGGATAATGTACAATATCCCAGAACTGCGTCGCTCACCCCACTCAGCCGTTGGAATAGGAAAGGAAAGTAACCCAGGCTTGGCTTCTTCCTCCACTCTTCTCCTATATAAGAATACACAACTTCCTCCATTCTTCACCAAATCCTTCAATTATTTCTTCTACTTTGTTGCTCTGAGTGAGGAGAACACACTGGTGCTCTCAATTTGGTGTGAAGTCGCCGGAGCTAACCACATACCTCGCCAGAAAATTTCCAAAATTTCCATTAAGCTTTGAGGTAAACCCGTATATCTAGTGACTAGAATGTTCATATAGATCGTTTTTACGTTCATAATCGGTCGTGAATGATGTGTAAATCTAAATAACTAATTGTGGTTGTCATTATACATGTTTTAAATTCGCTTCCGCAATATTATTAAACACTTCGTATTTCTACAGTTATGTAATAATAGTTATTATGATAAATAAAGATGTTTGAAATGTTTTAATTATTATGATTACCAAGTTAAAACTTTAGTCCGAAAGGGGCTACAGACCTGGACGAATTAGGGTGTTACAATTTGGTACCAGAGCAAATGGTTTTAAAACCAATCTTCGGATAAAAAATTTGGATTTAATATATATACATACATACATACATACATACATACATACATACATACATATATATATATATATATATATATATATATATATATATATATATATATATTAAATGAGGGCTAGTTCTATATTTCGTTCTGGTTCGACTGGTCGACTGGTCGGGTTCGGGGCCCACCTACGAGTTTTGACTCCAAATTTCTGTGGCGAGTTCTATATTTTATGCTGAACATTTTTCTCTTCTGTGGTTTCTGGCAAATTTGAGCTAATTTTGTAGAAAGAATTCATTTCCACCACAAGTTGGTTCATACTCAATGCACGATGTGGATTTGTTCTGTTTTGCACCTTTTGTACCACTTTTGACTCAACTATTATTCTTTTTACATCAAGACATAACTTTTGTACACTTTTAAAATTATGAACAAAAACTAATGAGAAATTGTCTTGGTTGATCCAAAGTTGGACAATAACACATTAAATATAGATAAGATTAGTGCATATAGAATAGCCTTATCAATCACAAATAGGGATGACCGAGACAAAATATGGAGACACTTGGGGCAAGAGCGTGACTATCTCGATGAGAATGAGAGACAAAATCAATGACATTTGGGTTGTCATTTCATAATGGGCGATAACACTGGTGGAGATGTCACTTCTACGTGGAAGAAGTGAAAGAACATGGTCCACCTGGCCAAGATCCAAAGGCCTCGGCTCCCAAAAAGGAAGAAGAGGAAGTTGATCTTATTCATAGACGATGACTATCCTCCTGTGGTAAGCCCACACATGGATTCCCTTGTTATAAGGGTGGAGATTAATAAGGTTATGGTCCACTTAATGGTAAACATCATGTACAATGACACTTTCAGGGAACTGGGATTGTCTTGAGCCGACGTCAACCTGATATGGACTACATTTTCACGGTTCAATGGAGATATAATTGAAGCCGAGGTCATAACTACAGTCAAGGTCGAAGTGGGAGACGGCACCCACAAGGTCCGACTCGATATGGAATTCATGGTAGTGTACCTAGATTATGAACACCGTCTGATCCTAGGTCGACCGAGCTTGGAAGATATGAACTGAGTGATCAAACACCATCGGGAGTAGGTTTGGCCCTAGTGAATCAAAACTTGTCTAGGTCGTGCTATGTCAGGGCGAGCAAGAAGACTGCATGGGTTGACAAAAATGTTAGCACCATTTGCGCAACAGTAAAAATATAGGAAGGCTAATCAAGGGCTGTGATAAGTCCATTTTGTTCTTATTTTATTCTACATATTTTAAGCGTTGTTGCACAAAAATAGTAATAAATTTACCCATTAAAGGTGTCAATTAGTGACAAAACTTATGTTTCGTCTCAATAAGAATAAATACGGGGTCCAAATTAAATTAAGTGGATTTGTCAATTTTATGTCCCAAATTGGAGAAAAAGCTTCAGATTTTAAAGATCACTGAAGAAACCGAGACTTTAGAGGTAAAAATCAGTGTTCAGGAGCCAAACAGACCAAAACGGAGCGAAATTGGACAAAAATCCCAAAGAATCGCGTATTGGACCGATTGGGCGCTGAAACAAGACCCTGGGCATCCAGAGTTGGACACCCGTGATAATTGGATGCCCAAGCAACCAAAGATGACACGGCTTTGCCATGCGATGCGACGCTAATGGACGGAACACGTAATTCGCGTACGGGGGTCCAAAGTTGGACGACGAGAGGAGTTGGACGCCCGAGTTCCCTGCCATATAAATACCGCACGATTTTACATCATTTACACACCATTCTTAACCCAATTTTGGGTTTCACTCTCTCTATTGCTTAAAATACTTTGTATATTAGTTTTTGTAGTAGTTTTGAAGTAATTTTGGAGGGTTTGACTCCAGATCTGTTCTAGGCAAGGAAGTTCTGGGCAATGGAACTTACCGGTTGTGGACCCCAAGTGAGGGAGATGACCCATGCACTTGGAACAACGAGAATTTGATTAAGTTCTATCTGTAACACATTCCAAGATGTAATGTTGTTCCTTTTTATCAATAAAGAATTGCATTCATCACACCTATTTCATGTTCTTAAAAAGGAGTGGAAGATTGCTTAGATCGTCCTCGCAAGAATGTAGGACAACCTCCCAAGCAGTTTCCATAGAGGCATAAAAGGGGCATTCAATGGACTTGCGAGACCCGTTGGTTTACCAAAGTGCTTACAGAATATTGGTCAAGGTATTTTTGTCCAAGGCTAATTGAACGGGACGATGTTGCTGCTCGGCCACCCTAACAAATAAGGGCGGGGCACAAAAACGCCTTAGTCATTAAAGGGATGACGTTGAAGGTGTATTATCTTGAGTCATTAAAGTAAAACACCTGTAAAATAGCTAAGTCTAACGGAAACCTACCCCAACATGAGCGGGAAAGTTATCCTAGTCAAAGGAAAAATCCATCAACTAAACCTCTCAAGGTAAATTGGACAAATTCAAATATAGCAAAATTTTGGATAAATTTTATTAAATAACCCTTCAGAGAGGAAATGAAAAGACGAGTGAAACAACAGAAGAATAGTTCAAAGGACTTCACAGAGGTACAATAGAAAGGAAAAATTCCTATTACATTTCTTTTCTACTTTACTTGTTTATCTAAAGCACAGGTTTAAGAAGAATCAAGAAGAAACAAGCTAACCCTCGACCTCCTAAGCGATTAAAGGGTATTTTGTAGCTACTTGTTCAGGAAGCCCTCGCCAATGCTCGGATCTTGCCATGGGAGGGGTCGGGTAATACTCCTAGAGGATTATCTTTTATGGCATTTTCTACAGGGCACCAGAAGAAGGCTGGAATCTAGTGGAGAACTAGATCTACCGGGGGGACCGAGGAGGAGGAGGCCCCCTCCACAACTATCAAACATGACTATCTTCTCTTCCCATGTCAATGTCTTGCTAGGACTCAAATCGGGCTTCGCCCTCAGCTAGTTGGGGAGACCTGGTGCGGCTTTCACAAGTGAACTCAGCATGAGCCTGCTGCCACAATTTGTGTTCCTCCATGAGACGTGATTGTTCCCTCTCCACCTAGTCTACCTCACCTAAAGGGAGGTGATGGGATAAGATGTCCCTGTTAACTTCTCGGAAATCATTGAAAGGATTGGGAGGAATGTGGGGAGGTCGAACAGAAGCACACCGTGGTGGGGGAGTAACGTTAGGCAAACTCTGAAGGACTTCCCCAATTGTTGGAGTTAATTGATCGAGTGGGGGAACTAGTCTCTGAAAAAGATGAAGAGTTAACCCCAAAAAGCTCCAAGGAGACAACCTCATCTCTAGACATTGCGAAAGAGTACAGTTAGGAAGTTAGCAAAACCAAAAGGAAGAGGATGCTTATAAAGGAATTTGGGCATGATGGATGTGGTTGAACGCTTTGGCCAAGGGCGGTAGTTGAATCAATTCGAAATGGCCTAGGGTAGGAGTTGGGTCGATCCATGTCGAAGGCTTGACTTGATGTGATTATATTGGACAAGCGATTGGGTTGTTAGTTGGACTAAATAAAAACGAGCCTTACTCGGCGTGACTGGGCTATTGGTCGGGCCGATGTTTGGGCCTAAGTTGTGAGTTTTGTTATGCATGTGGGTTGGCGAGTAGACAAGATCCAGCAAGGTGATGATTTTCACACAAATTGCTAAGGGAACTCACACATCCAAGCAAAATAAGCCAAAGGGTGAAATCAAGACATTGAAGATTACCTTCAAAATTCAAAATGTTTTACTACATAAGAATTAATACAAAATGATGTTCAAAAAACATAAAGGAGAAGCTAGCTAGGAGGCGCCTCTTTGGTGTTAGGTTCTTCGTCATCCTGAGCTTCCTCGTCCTCTGCAGAGGCGGACTCCTCAATCTCCTTATATGGGACTGGGTCAAAGCTGTTGAAGTCGGCACAAAGAGGGGGACCTTCCAGGCTGCTCAGAGACGCATCAAGAGCCAGAGCAGCGATCCTCTCGTGAAAGACTTGTTTGGCTCTAAAGAGTCCCAGATTGAGGGACGAGCTTGCTCATTTGTTCTATGGAGGCATCTTGGAAGCCTTGTGAGGTCTTACAGATCTGGACTGCCTCGTGTCTGACTTCATGCTAGCGACAGGCCATCATTTTCTTCTCCTCTTCGTTGCTAATGAAGATTTCTCTTCTTGTAGTTGGGAGCACTTCTTCTCCAGCTAGGAGTCACAGCATAGCAGCTTATATTCTTCCGACTCTCCTCCAAGAACCGATCGGCATAAAGATTGGCCAACCCTTTGAGCTCCCACCTCTCATGGTCTCATAGCTCCTATTTCTTGAGGCGCAGGGTGTTGACGACCATCGGTGGGGATGATTCCATGAGCTCAATAAGACCCTACAAAAAGTAGACTCATAAGAGAATTCTCCATATGTAACGCCCCGAAAATAGGCCTATCAAAATTAATTGATAATTAATTAATTACTGAGAAGGACCCAAAAATAAGTGAATTACGAAGTTTATCAATATTTAATGAAAATTAAATCATTATGTAGAGTTTGAATGTCTAACCCCAACGGTTCAATCAGATTTCAATTTGGAGAAAGTTAGAACGAAAAGTTTACCCCGACTGGAACAAAAATTAGTCCCAATCGGACTACACACCGAACGGCGCCCTATACAATTACGCCGATTCCAAATCGGCGAAGGATTGAGGAACCCGCTACTCCCTTGGCTTCTTCTCCTTCCTTTTGCTATATAAACACACCTAATTCTCCCATTTCTTCACCATTCTTCTTTAATCTTCTTCCTAAGTGTTCCTCAGAGTGTGAGGAGTGTTGTAGTCCTGTAAATTTGCCGGAAATTTTCCAAAACCTCTGTTAAGCCTCGAGGTAAGCCTGTAGATATATCTAATGACTAGAATGTTCATATTCGTCGTTTCTACATTCATAAATAGTCATTTGGTTGAGTTTTGTGTTTGACATGTTTGAAGAATTAATATTTATAAATCTTGAACTTGTTAAAACTACGAACTAATGATACAAAAATGACATATGAACCTTCGAGAATATTTCTATATAGCTTAATTGAAGTTTGATGACTAAAAATGACATTTCTAAAAATTGGGCCGAGGTTGAAGATTACACTACTCAAAACTACGCGCAGAACGGTAGTCTGATACCGTCCGGACGTTACCTTGGTACCGCCGGGACGGTAGGCCATACCGTGGGAACGGTAGGCTGGCTCGTGTCTCCACCGTGGAAATTTTCTCTCTGGAGGTACGTAATACCAAACGGTACCCCGTATTGTTTGGGCGGTACCGAGGTATCGTACCGCGGTACCGAGGTACCGTTAGGGGTACTGCCTGACCCGAGAAAAAATTTAAGAACCTGATTTTTGAATTGTCAAATCCTATTTTTTATATCAATCAATTATAATCCATATTAATATGATTTCTGGAAATAAATATGGTGTTTTGATCAATTCAAGAAAACTTGTTTGATGCATGACGGTAAGCTAGAGTATTAATACTCGACGCTAGGCCGCTATTTGTTATTTAATATTATTATGATTGGTTGACTGTGATTATGATGAATATTCTGGATAAAATTATGATTATGAGTTGTTGAACTAAGATTCAAAGTAAATGGATTGATGAAAAATGAATAGTATTGCTAAAATTATCTATAAAACCTTTAAGATAGACCTTATATTAGCATGGGCCTTGCGAGTATATATATGTATATTTGGTGGCCTTGGGTAAAAGCGTACATACGAGGTTCATAAAGCAAACTTGAGGATCATTCGTTTGGGGATACCACCAAACCCGACAGTGATTATTCCGTTGTTCCGTTTTCTGGATTGTACCTTAAGCGAAGGCTAGTTTAAGAGTTGGAAAATCTTTTGGAAAATATGTACCTTAAACTATGACCTAGCTTAAGAGTTAGTTAAAAGTACCTTAAACTAGAATTAGTTTAAGAGTTGGTAAATAATATAAAGATTGGCCTTAAACTAGGAATTGTTTAAGGATATTGTTGAAGATGAATGTTAAATATTGAATGATGCATATTGAATATTGATTATCTGAACTGAATATTATATGCATGATATCAAATTATTTGATTGTGAATTGAGATCCAATCTATATGGATGTTCAACGCTTTCGATATGCTTACTCAACTTCCCTGCTGAGCGTGTAGTGTGTTTTATTTGCTACACGCAGGTAGGTAGAATGAATGACATATTCCTGCCAGCGGATGGGACGAGACAGTGGTGGTGGATTTATGAATAAAATAAATAATTGTGTTGTTATGAGACATGATTTTAATTCGCTTCATCATTATTAAACACTCCGTATTTTTCTACAGTTATGTAATGAATATTATTTATGATGAATAAAAATGTTTGAAATGTTTTAAATTATAAGATTACCAAGTTAATACTTTAGTCCGAAAGAGGCTGCAGACCTGGACGTATTAGGTTCTTACACCATATACAAAATTAAAGAGGGGAAACATATTAATCTGCTTACCTTTCCGATGTTCCGGGTAGTAGAATGGACGAGGTCCAAATCCTCCCTAGCAGCGAGCAAGACTGTATATGCATATGGCACCGCCGCCATAAGAGTCACCGGATAGGGAGCTCCCCCTTCAGCAGGGATTTCCCAAGGGAAAGAGAGAGCTAAATGGTCTCCACCCCTAGCTCCAAGTCTGTCCGCAGTAGTGGAAGGAGGGGGTTGACAGGAGTGTTGGGGAATCTAGGATCTAAAGATAGTAGTATTTAGGGCAAATTCAAACATCAAAAGTCAACTTTAACTACTCCCTCCGTCTCAAAATATTTGCCACATTTCCTTTTTCAACCATCACAGGAACTTTTAATTTGTTTATTTGTACGTTTTCATTGAATATTTGATAAAATAAAATATTCTTGACACCTCTTATTTCAAAGAATTTTTCATGTAATTTTTAAATATGTAAATTTTATTTTTTATTTCTAGACCAATAGTTAAATAAAATGTATTGAAAAAACTTGATATTTTGCCTCATTTTTCAAAATACGGTAAATATTTACACCAAGATGACATGGCTAAAATTTGTAAACCAAGTTTAGATTTGAAAGCTGGGTTTTTAGATTTGACCAAAAAAGTCAAAACATGAAAAATTTTTAGGACCAGAGAGATCAACACATTATTCCGCCTCTTCAAACTATTTTTTTATTTCCCTTGTCAATCTTTATAATTTTATATATTTATTTTAGGTACGGAGCATCATTTTTCAAATAAGACATTTTAAAAATTGAATTAAAGTTGTGTGACACCATGTTAAAGTTGAAGTTGTAGAATATTATTTATAGAAGTTTTTAAAAATTTGGTGTGTTTAAACTTTTGATATAGAGGTGTTAAAATTATTTTTTTGGTTTTATTATTGCAACTACCCTAATAGTTCATACTTCCGAGTCCCAACATCACCAACAACGGAGATTTTTTCCAATAGTCCAAGTACATTTGGACCCCTTCATTGTGTTCTGGGTTCAATTCTCAATGCAATCAAAGATATCTTTAATTTTGTTATTCTTATTTATACCAATTACTCCCTCCGTCCTAAAATTAACTTCCCATTTGACTTTTCACGGTCTCCAATGCGGCACTTTGACCATTAATATTTTCATTTTTATATGAATATATTATCAAAATAATATATTTCAAAACTATGTTTCAAAATGAATCTATTGATACTAAATTTATATGAAAATTCAATATATTTTTTCTGTAATATGCAGTCAAAGTTTTAAAACTTTCATTGCAAAAGTCAAAATGGGAAATTAATTTTAGGACGGAGGGAGTATTTTTTGTTCATATTTGCATCTCCCGAGAGATCTCAAAACAGCCTTTTAAACACACACACACACACAGATACACACACACACACACACACATATAGGGATTGACTCTAGTGAGATGACATCTTACGGTAAGATGACATTCTTCGATCAGATGACACAAAGCTCACCACTGGCCACTACAAAGCTCACCAAAGGCAACTACAAAGTTCACCAAACTGTAAGGCAAAGCTCACCATATTTTTTCAACACTTTGAATTTTTTTTCAAAAAATAAAATCAAAGGAAGGGGTGCTGACTGCACTTTGACTGTTGACCGCCGCCTGCCGCTGCCGGCCGCCGGACTCTGATCGTCGCCAGTCCCGCCGCCGGTCACCGCCGCCGCCGTTGACCGGTGGTTGACTGGTGTTGTTTTTTTTAAATTAATTTTTTAATTTTTAAAATTTAAAAAAAGGTGAGTTTTGGGGTTCAAAGTGGTGAGCTTTGCTTTATTTCCAGGTGAGCTTTGCTTTGCAGTGTAATGTGGTGAGCTTTGTGTCATCTGACCGAAACATGTCATCTCACCGTAAAGTGTCATCTAACTAGAGTCAATCCTATATATATATATATATATATATATATATATATATATATATATATATATATATATATATATATATATAGGTAGAATCACACACAATTAATGTCTAGAAAATTCAAAATAAAAAAAAAACACATAACTCGTGCTAGTAGTATGTAGCACAAACGTTTGGGGGTGGGGATATATATATATATATATATATATATATATATATATATATATATATATATATATATATATATATATATATATATATATATATATATATATATATATATATATATATATATATATATACACATATATATATATATATATACATACATATTATAGCATGACCCAAGGCATCTACCGTGCTCCGTTCGAAAAATTGGTAGTTTGTACCCTTCTAACCCCCATGCTTCCATCCTCTTTGGTGATTGCCTACCATAGTTATTGTAGTCAATCAGCAGGGGGAATTAGAGGGTGTAAGAACTATCTACTTTTTTAACAGAGTAGGTAAGTGCCCAGTCTTGCTATGACATTGGATACCATTGTCACATGAACTAGACCAATATATTTAACATAGGTAGTATTAAACATTTTGCACTCCCTTCTCGTGGTTTAAGTTTTGCACAGGAGATATCACCTCCACCGAAATTGAGTATAAACCCACTCTGAACAGCCTCAAAATAACTTAAGCGTCATTTTAAATAAATTTGAAATGAGAAATTGACTTTTTGGAACAGGGAGAGAAGTTACGACCACCACCATTGGTAGTATATTTTGTTCAAGGGACATGATTAGCAGTGTACACCAAACCAAAGGCCAATTCCACATTTAATTTGTTTGTGAAATTGACCTTTGGCGGCCATTGGAATTCTCTATTCAAGAATCGTGATGGATTGTCGCTTGCGGCTTGTCCCGTCTCAGGCATCGAGATGATGCTAGGCCTGTTGGTACTGCTCTACTAAGGATATTCAGTTACGAAGCTTAGTCACATTTTCTCATCTTAACAAGAAACCCATATTTTTTTTATTCGGCTTTGATCCTCCTATTAACTTCTTGGAACTTGGAAATCCCCTTTTCCCCAAGTTGAAGAAATTCGGATTCCAAAGTTTCAGCTACCTTTGTGGTATCAGGATCATGTTCAGGGATTGCAACATGAAACGACCCTTCTTTCGTTAGTGTGTCATGCTCCACAAGCTCTGCTTGCTGTTTAACGTAAGTGTAAAGCTGCTGATGGAAGTCATTGTCCAAGGAGAAACAGTCATCAATTGTACCCTTCTTACAATGCTTAGAAGACCCAGAGCCCTCTCTTTTGCAAAAATGAGGGAGAGATGAATAATCCATAATCTGAAATCAAGTTCATAATTAGACAACAACAACAACAACAATAATAATAATAATTATAATAATAATCCGTAATAATGGTGGTGATAATAATAGTAATAATAATACGGAGTAATAATAATGGAAGGAGCTGCATACTTTCAAAAGCTCATCCCTTCCTGACCCTGATAAGACTTGAACTTTCTTTCTAGTTCTTTCTTTCAAAAGAGGCCGCACAACCTGCACGGATATAATGCATTATCTCATGAAGCAATACAAGTCCTAGTATTTCTTGAAACTTTTACATGTAAAGCCAAACCTTCCAGCACGATGAAAATATGTATGGTGCATTAACAATGTAATATGTTTCAGTCTTTTCGGGATAATTAAGGTCATCAATGGTAGAAATATCAGTCAATAGCTGAAAACAAAAACAAAAAAAATGATTAGACAAGGCTTTAAATAATCACAAAGTAGTTTTACGACCCCAAGAAATAAAGAAAGAACAGAAAAGGTATCTGAAAAAAACCTTAATTTGACTTAGAGCAGAGAGCTTAAGCCCAGTCATGTCCAATATCTTTACACATGTACCAATATAGTGCCCATACATTTTAGTTGCAGAGGGCTAGAAAAAAACAACAAATTAGTTTATATGAAAATAAACTCTTGCATTTATAATATACACATCAATATAAATTAGCACTGACCAATATCACTCGGTCACGGTATTCATTCATTTGGATGTGTGATTGAACATAGTAGTGAACCTTAATGAAGAAAAAATAATAGAATGACTTCATTTGGAGAAGAAACTAAAGAGCAGACGAAGGAACAAATATTAAATTATTGTAGCAATAACATTTTTGAAACCCTTAGTCAAGAGGAATATATCAGGCAAGAAACAAAATCCTTACAGATGCTTTGTCAAATGTGCTGAGCCCCACACCAACAGCAATAACAGGTAGGCCCTGTAGGTTTCATGGAAAAGAAAGTATAGGTGGGATTCATGTTAGCATTATTAGTTGGTTGCAGCATACTTTTCATGATTTTCAGAAGACAGTAAACAGAAGGTGTACAAGGCTACATCCCTATGTTAGTAACAAAATTCTTCATAATTAGAATCGATAGAAGTACCTCTTTTGAGTATCCAGATATCCCTACAAGCTGAGATTCCCGAATTGCCCTGTACAACTCAGAAGGGATAATTGGCTTCTGCGAAAAGCAGAATTGAAGAATGAGAATGTATAACTTTAATGATCATTAATGACAAGGGGGAGAGGATTTTGGAAACGTGGACAAAAGTACTATCAAATGTACAAGCAGATAACCTTATAATAGTCGAACAAGAACTTACAGCTAAAATATTATCAATATCATTTCGGATCCTCCAGTTCAAACAGTCAGTCAACTGTAAAATATAGAAGAGGTGAGAAAACATATATCTAAATCATTATTCTGCACATATATGTTGTGAAATTCTCACAAGTTTACACCAAAAGTGAGCCATTGTACCGAAAGGAAAACATTTCAGGTAGTGAGGAGTCATGCACGGTTTTTCTTGAAATCCAACTACCACTCTTATCATATTGTGCCTCAATTTTCCCATAAAATACAAAAAAAAAAAGAAAAGAACACTTAGACTTATGTGGACAGCAATTTTACAACTCCATCAGACACAACTATATCCCACTATCCACGGATGTAGTTACAACTTGCGTAAAACCTTACAAATTAGATAAACTCTCTTAACTCAAATACTCATAAATATAAAGCCTAAATGTACTAAGTAATGGAACGCTAAAAGCATAGCAGACCGAAGTGGGGAATGAAACTCTGAACTCACTCACTAAATTTCTCAAAATCAGTGATTAGAACAGCACCACAACCGCCCAGTATAATCCCTCGCATGTAGGGCTCGGGCAGGGTGAGTGTACGCAGACCTTACCCCTACTCAAAAGTAGAGAGGTTGTTTCCAAAATGGTTGATTAGAATTGACACAAAAAACTCTTCTATTGATAGCAAATTGGCTAAGTTACTTTGAGAATAAAAAAGTTGGTCCACTGTAAAAATGATGAATTAACACTTAACACTATGATCTAGGGTTAAACTAGTTGATCCATGAGGTTCAATTTTTGTTGGTCAAATGTCTAATAATTGAGTGACTCATAACTCAACCTTAAACCCTACCATGATATCAGGCAAGCTTTGATCCACTTCGTTTGTCAAATAGTCCGTCTAAAAGACCATCCATAGTGGGATTAGTGATCAAAATGAAGCAAAAACACCTCTATTTAAGGGAATTTGGTTGAGCTCCTTAAGCAACAAAATATGCTCTACCTAAAACAAATGCTACGTCTGTGGAGGAAATCCATAGTATGCTTTTGATGCCTACTGTTTTTTTGTCTTCTTTCATTGAAATTGAGCAACTGAATCACGAAAGAGTTTGAACAATGGACTACTATGTGTCAAGTTATGTAATATAGCATCTTACATTCTTACCATTTTGTGGGCTTTAGATACATTCCCGTCCCTGGCTTTTAGAAACCTCGCCAAAGTCTCAGTTTGGTACTCTTGATGCACATTCTGCAATGACAGAAAATAGAACATTTTTTAATTACTCAAACTTTAGCAACCAACTATGAAATACTCATTAAAAATTGCACATAGAAAATCCATCCTAACTTCTAAAATCCTAGAGTTCCATTGATAAAATAAAGCAATATAGCAACGAAACCTTGAGATACTCATAGAAAATTGGACATAGAAAATCCAACCTAACTTCTAAAATCCTAGAGTTCCATTGATAAAATATATTCAATCTTGTACAGGAATTATACCAAAGCTTGGTTTTGTTCCATAGTTTGTAAGGCGGCAAGGCGAGGCGAGGCGCCAATGTACCTTCATATCGCCTAGGCGACTAGGCGACATACATACCTACATATATATATATATATATACATATATATATATGTGTGTATGTATGTATGTATGTATATATATATATAGATATGTATGTATATATATGTGTGTGTGTGTGTGTGCATATATATATATATGCATATATATATATATATATATATATATATATATTTCTATATGTATATATAGGTCTTATTATACATTTTAAGGAAGCTTGACAGATAAGACCAAGAGTGAGAGAGAAGATAAGTTTAAGTCTATTAGGCTACACTAAAAGAAAATGGGCTGCACTAAAAAAATGGGTTTTTTCAAAATTTTAAAGGAGCCCAAGGCATCAAGGCGAGGCAAGGCAAATTAAGGCGAGGTAAGGCGAGGAAAGGTGACGCCTAGGCGAGCGCCTGGTCGCCTTAAGGTTTTCTAGGCGAGGCGAGCAGACAAGGCGTCCCAGTGACAGCGCCTTATCGCCTAGGCGACGCCTTACAAACTATGTTTTGTTCAAAATTCTAAGTCACTTATTACCTCAGGTTGAGCAGAAGCTTAATCAAATTGCCACAAACAAAAAAAATCCCTTGCAGTAATTACAAATCACAGTGGAGTTAGCTGCAAAGCAAGTTTGGGAAAGAAATCACCTCTGATTTTCCAACCCATGGTTACCACACACTAATAACATAGCTGCAAAAGTGAACTTGATAAAAAAAGATTGGAGCAAGTCCAGCTGTCCACTTTGTTAGAAGTTAGAAGTCCAGCTGTCCACTTTGTTAGAAGTTAGAAGTCCGGCTGTCCACTTTTTCAGCTATTTTTTTCTCCTTTTCTGTTTAGCTTTCCATTAGTTTGATAAAAGGCTAGATGCATACTTAAGGCTTCCTCCTCTTTCTTTTATTCTTGTATCAAGAACATTCAGAGAAGAATAATTCAGTTAAAAACATTTTCTCTCTCTTCTTCATTTCCACTGCACACGCTTCATGAGATTTAACATGGTATCAGAGCTTCGGTATATCTGATTCAAAGCTTGATCGCTGATCTCCATCGCTGATCACTGATCTTCATCGCTGATCTCCATCGTCGATCTTCATCGCTATTTGTTTAGATATGACGTCTTCTACTCCTAATACAACTTCCAGAACCCTAGATGCTTCGGATCCTCTCTATCCTCACCCTTCTGATCATCTTGGTTTGCTTCTTGTCTCTAAGAAATTTGATGGTGAGGGATTTGCATCCTGGAAGAAATCGATCTCCATAGCTTTATCTGCAAGAATAAATTTGATTTTGTCACAGGCAAAATTGATAAACCTGTTGACAATCTGTCACGATTGAGTCAATGGCAGAGATGTAACGATATGGTTACATCTTGGATTCCTAATGGGCTTAGCAAGGATATTGCAGATAGCGTCCTCTGTGCGAGCTCTGTCATTGAACTGTGGAATGAATTGGATGAGCGATTTGGTCAATCTAATGGCACCATTCTATCTCAACTGCAAAAGGAAATCAATTCTCTAAACCAAGGCAATATGGACATCGCAAGTTATTATACCAAGCTCAAGAAGAACTGGGATGAGCTACTGGGATGAGCTTAATGCTATCTTGCGTTTACCAAACTGCACGTGTGGAGCTGTTCAAGCTCTAAGGAAGCATGAAGAAGATCAGAGACTAATTCAGTTTCTAATGGGCCTAAATTCTGATTACACCACAACACGTGGCAACACGTGGTAATTTACTGATGATGAAATCTCTTCCTACAATTGCTCAAGCATATCATCTGATAATCCAGGAAGAAAAACAACTAGGAATTTGAGCTCCTAATCAGATTTACCTGAGCATGTTTCCTTGAATACCATCAAAGCTGCTCGAGGAAATTATAAAGGAAAGAAAGAAACTAACACTGTGTTTGGATGGTGAAAAAATAAAGAGAACGAAAATGTGAGGTGAGAAAACACATAAACCAATGTAAATTCACTTGTTTTGATACGTGAGAAAATGGAGGGAGAAGAGAAAGTAAAGGATGGGATCATGTGAAAAGTTTTCTCACCATAGCTGATGAGAAAATGGATGAAAGAGCATTCCTTCTCTTTTTCGTTATCTTTTCCTATTTTCTCAACATTTTCTTATCAATTTCTGTCAATCCAAACACTAATTTTTTCTCTTCATTTTCTCACCATTTTCTTTCGTCTCATTTTCTTTTCTCTTATTTTCTTTCCTCTCATTTTCTCACCTCATCCAAACAAATCGTAAAAGATCTTTAATCTGTGATCATTGCAAAAAACCTGTGATCATTTCCAAAGTACTTTAAATTTATCAAAGGGAAGAATGCCTCAGCATATTCTGTCAATATAGAAGACTCATCCAAATCTGCTGATGATTCAGAAAAACAAATCGGTTCAGACTTCTGCAATCAGTTCATGAAATTACTAGCTGCTGTCCAGTCTAATGTGAATAATCAAAGTTCCATGATAAATTCTTCTTGTTAAGGTATTTCTTTTCCTTCTTTTAGTTGTGTTTCTATGCATTTGAGTAATCATGTGCTTTACAATACTGATTATGTTCGGATTTTAGATTCTGGAGAAACAGATCATATGTGTGTTCACTCACATTTGTTCACCACTCTCCTTGATTTACCCTTTCCTCACACTGTCACCTTACCAAACAAAGTTAACAAACAACTTTCAATCACTAAGTTTGGCATAGTTACACTCTTTCCTGATATCATCTTACAAGATGTCCTATATATTCCTCACTTTCAATACAGTTTATAGTCCATTGGAAAGTTATGTGCCCAAATAAAAGGATCTGTTCAGACACATTGTATATTGCAGGGCCCTTCCATAAATAGGCCACTGATTCTTGGTAAGCATATTGGAGGTCTCTACCTGTCCAAAGCTGATTCAAATCCAAAGTCTCTCAACACCTGTTCAACTGATCGTTCTGTGTTTTATACTCATAATATATTCCAATGTAATAAAGACCTTGTTTCTATTAGTTCTGCTTGTAACTTCAAGAGCAAAAATATTGATGTTGTCAAACTCTGGCATTTGAGATTAGGGCATTATCTGGATATAAACCCTATCAATAATGAAAATTCTACTTGTCTTGATGTTTGTGATGCTTGCCCAAAAGCTAGACAACACAGATTACCATCCTCATAGTCAAAGACAAACCAGTCATCCTTTTGAACTTGTACATATTGATTTGTGGGGTCCTTATAATACAAGAACTCATAATGGATTTTATCATTTTCTTACCATTGTTGATGATTACTCTAGAGCCACTTGGACATATTTGTTGAGTACCAGAAGTAATGCTCCTGAATTTATCAGTGTTTTTGTTGAAATGGCCTCTACACAATTTGGGATTTTGCTGTTAAAACAATAAGATCAGACAATGCTTTGGAACTTGGAAAGAGTAGAGAAACTATGAACTATTTTCTGTCCAAAGGGATTCTTCACCAAACCAGTTGCAAAGCTACTCCACAGCAAAATGGGGCATTTGAGAGAAAACATAAACACCTTCTCGAGACTTCCAAAGCTTTGTTTTTCCAATCCAACCTACCTCTAAAGTTTTTTTTGGGGGTGGGGGGGCGGTGTCCCTACAGCCACATATCTCATCACCAGGTTCCCTAATAAGTTAGTTGGGGGAAAAACACGTTCCATGAAACCATATGTCCTTATCATTCCACTTCCAAAACATCTGAGCCCATATTTACTATAAATCCCATCTCTGATTTCTCTAATTCTGATCCCATTCCTTCTTCATC